AAATGGGAGCTTTGTTAATGTTGTCTTTAAAATTCCTTCCTGTTTCTTAGCTGGGAGAGGAGGCTGCACAACACAAAGGGTGAGGGGAGGAGCAAGCCAATGGGAAGAGGCACTTGGCCTTAACTCAGAGACGGGGAAAGATTGTCACTCTATTTTCTTTCAGTGGCAGTAAGAGCTTTATCAAGGTACTTAGTGCCATCAGCTCTTGCACTGGGGAACCCAGGGCTCCAGGTCAGCAAGAGACAGGTCCTAAAAGACATTAAATTGTGGGAAGACAGCTGAGGAGGTAGGCCAGCCCCACAAGGGAGAGGACACTGCCTGTATGGATTCGATGGGGGCACACAAAATGATACTTCCATTCCCTAAACCTTGTAATCTGCAAATGTGATCTTATTTGATAAAAGGGTCTTTGCAAATGTAATGAAATTAAGCATGGCACAATTAGATTAACCTAGATTTCAGGTGGGCCCTACATCCAATGACAGTCCAGTCTCTAACAAGATAAAAACAGAGGGAGATTTGAGACAGTCATAAGGGCAAGGCCATGGGAAGACAGAGGCAGAGATTGGAGTAATGCTGCCACAAGTAATGGAAGGCCTAGAGTTACCATGAGCTGGGAGAGGCAGGAAGGAGCCTCCCACTAGCACTTGTGAAGGGAACATGGCCCTGCCCACACCTTGATTTTTTGCTTCTGACCTCTAGAACTGTGAGAGAATAAATTTCTCTTGTTTTAAGCCACTCAGTGTGTGTAAATTTGTTACTGCAGTCACAGGAAACTGATACACTGTCTTTCTTGGTGGCGGGTCCTAGGCCCTCAAGACGTCACTCAAGGTCAAGGTCCGCTTCCTGATATGATTCCTGAGCTGCCGTAGAAGGCACCATTGAGATAGGACTTCTGCATTGTTACCTGAGCTCAGACCACTCACCCTGGAAGGGCCAGCTCAGAAGGGTGGTGACAAGAGGAAATGTAGTGGTGGGGGTGGCAGGGGCAGAGGGGAGGCAGGCAGCAGCCAGGGGTCCTGGGGCACCAGGGTCACCAGCAGGCTGAAGGGCGAGAGCTGCCATGACAGTGGTGGCAGTGGCTGTGGGGGCTATTAGTTTTCAATAAAGATGGGTCTCACTGCATTGCCCAGGCTGTCTCAACTCATGGCCTCAAGTGATCTTCCTGCCTTGGTCTCCCACAATGCTGGGATTAAAGATGTGAGCCACCACACCTGGCCTTTTTAAAAGGAATTCAATTCAGTGGTTTTAATTACATCCAATATGTTATGCAACCATTACCACTACCTATTTCCAAACTTTTTCATCACTCAAACGGAAACTCTGTAACCATTCAGCAGTAACTCCACATTATCCTGTCCCCTGAGCCCTAACTTAAAAGCCAAAAGTAACCTATGTGGTTATCTTGACTAGTACTTGATGTTTCTTCCTAAGATTTCTAAGTACTCTCTTGTGTCCTTTCATTTCATCCTGAAGAACTCTTTAGCACTTCTTGTAGGCACTACTAGTTGCAAACTCCTTCAAGTTTTGTTTATCTGAGAATGTCTTAATTTCTCCTTCATTTGTGAAGGTTAGTTTGACCAGATATAGAATTCTTGGTTGACAGTTTTTTATTTTCATTTTTTATTTTTTTCCTGTAGCACTTTAAACATGGCCTTCTGGCTTTCATTGCTTCTAATGAGAAATTGGTTATTAATCTTAGCAAGGATCTTTTCTAACTGACAGGTGATTTCTCTCTCACTGCTTTCAAGATTCTTTGTCTTTGAACAGTTTGTCATAATGTTTTTCAGTGTGGATCTGTTTGAGTTTATCTCCCTTAGAATTCCTTGAGCTTGTTGCATGTGTAGATTCACGTCTATTATTAAATTTTGGAGTTTGGGGCCAATGTTTCTTTAAATATTCTTTATGTTACTTTCCCTCCTCTCGTGGGTATCCTATTGTGTATATATTGTTATGCTTGATGATGTCCCATAAGACTTTTAAATTACGTTCATTTTTCTTAATTCTCCTTTCTTTCTACTCTTCAGACTGGATAATTTCAATTGTCTGATCTTCAAGTTCACTGATTGTTTCTTTTGCCCAATCAAAGCTGCTGTTGACCCCCCATCCTGCCTTCCTCCTTTCTCATCTTCTCCCTCTCTCCTTCCCTCTTCCTTCCTCTCTCTCCTTCTCTTTTCCCTCATCCATCCCTCCTCCCTCCTTACCCCACTCCTGAAGAGCATGCTTACATGGAAGATGGACTAGTTACTTGCTCCAATGGCAGATGAGCATGGTGTCACCCAAGCCCTGAGTGCTGGGAGCCACCTGGCCTGCATCCAGCCTCCCTGATTGCCTCTTGTCCAGCCCCGCACCTGCATCTGTGTGCCCTAACACATTGCACACTGAGCAGCCATGGGCCCTGAGCAGCCACCACCCCGATCACGCACTGGCCCTCCTAGCAGCAGCACAATGAATGATTCTAGAATCAAGAATGTGGACCACATAGCCCCTGTGGCTAAAAGTTACAGAGGGACCCTCAGACACCAGCCAGCCTCTGACACTTTTTATGGGTCTCTGTTTGCTGTTTTTCACCCTCTAAATAAAGAGCAAACACTGTAAGAAATGCCAACAGTCTTACATTCAATTTCTCATGACTTGCCAACTGTGTATTGCCCTTGTTAACTCTGTGTAGCAAGACTGTGATGAATTCAAGCTTTAAAAGCTACCTTCAGTGGCTTCAAAAAGGAGAAACAGTGCCATGGGATTCCAAAGAAACCCTGGCTGTGGAGTGAGCTGCAAGTATGCCAGTGGCTTCTCTGCACTACCAAGTTCAGTCTGGTGAAAGTGAATCTCCAGAGGCTTAGCATGAGTGGCCAGGTGTTGTATAACCTTGGCAAGGAGTACTTCTGGAGCTTGCATTTGACTTTGTGGATGACATTTTCTGGGAACATCTGGACCACATGACTGAAGAAAAACACAAAAAGACAAAAGATCTATATAAAGAAAATTCATGCCTCAACTCAATTCCTCATTGGATTAAAAGCAATGCATTAGGTTTTGACATATACCAGGTACCATATTGAATGCAGACACACAATTACCCCAAAGGCAGCCTCCCAGACAGCATGTGTCCAGCTTCTGCACCCAGCGTGCTCAGCTCTGAAGAGGAGTTTCAGATGTCCTCCAAGTCTCAGCTCAGCTCTGTCAGCCTCAACTGTGCTCCATTAGTCAGGACTTTCTAGGCAGCTTGAATTTGTTCACCAACAATTCTCGGAAGCCTAAAGACCACAAATCACCTGATAATGGTGCAGCATTTAAAGCTGTCTGCTTCTTTAACATTTAAATCACGAAGCAGACAGCTTTGAGAGCTCAGGCTCACAGCACCAGTCCTGGAACAACCAGTCATCTTTGCTGGATGTGCAGCAGGTTCCTTTCTTCGAGAGCTTCAAAGACAACTGCAGCCAGTCTCTCTGCCTGAAAAAGTTGACCATGCCTTTCAAGGATTACATCCAAGAGAGTAGCAATCCGGGGCAGCAAGGCAAACCAGTTACACTTGTGGCTGTGCTGTCCAGCTTCACAGAAAGTGGACCTATTCACCTGTGGCAGTTTCTTCTGAAATTTTTGTCAGACAAATCTTGCCAGTCATTTTTTCAGCTGGAATAGGGACAGTGGGACTTTAAGCTTGCCAACCCTGACAAGGTGGACTGCCAGTGGGGAATCAGGAAAAATAGGCCCAAGATGAACTACAAGAAGCTGAGCATGGGTTTACACTACTATTATGACAAGAACATCATCCATAAGCTGTTGGGAAAGTGCTATATGTGCTGCTTTTTATGTGACCTCCAGAACTTGCTGGGGTTCACACCTGAGGAACTGTACACCATTCCGAACTTCCAGCCCAACACAGAGGTCTGAGGTCTCTGGAACCACCATGAATCAGCCCCAGGCCCATGAACTGAATGGGAAGCCCATCCTGACCAACTACTCCAAGCACCCATGATTGAATATGTCCAGGAATGGCTCCAAGAAGCAGTGGTTTTATTACATCTAAAAACCATACCTCTTGACTAGGCTTTCTCTCGTGTGGCAGAGAAGGCACACCTAATACTACTCGCAGTGCTTTTAAGTAAAAATGGTCGAGAAACAGGCACTTGGTAGTCATCATGGCTCCTAGCAGGCTATGGGAAGGGATGGTGCTGGGTGTTTGAGATTCTCAAAGGAGCGAGCATATCATGGACACACACAAATCATTTTTCCATTTTCTTTCATGTTTTGCAACCAGGAAGAGAAAATGCAAAAACTGCCTCTTTGTTTGAGAGGGGTAGGAAGGTGGAAAGTAAACAGCCATGCCATTTAAGAAGTCAGTTTGTTTATATTATTATTATCTGAAACAGGGTCTTGCTTGTTGCCCAGGCTGGAATGCAGTGGTGTAATCACAGTTCACTGCAGCCTCCACCTCCTGGGCTGAAGCAGTCCTCCCACCTCAGCCTCCTGAGTAGCTGGGTCCACAGGTACGTGCGACCATGTCCAGCTAATTAAAACAATATATTTTGGAGAGATAGGGTCTCATCATGTTGCCCAAGCTGGTCTTGAACTCCTCGGCCCAAGTGATCCTCCAACCTTGACCTTCCAAAGGGCTGGGATTACAGATGTGGGCCACTGCACATGGCCTCAAATTTCTTTTTTCCGCAGCCATTCCAAGGGTGGGTTGAAATGCTACAAAGCTCTCCTACCATGTTTCAATGACTTTTCTCCTAATTCAGCATTGGCTTGGCTGCTGTGAACCTTTTACTGTATTTTAGAGTTCTAATAAACTTGATTCTGACAGTTTTCCCCCAGTGTTTTCCATGTTTCTTGAAAGTGACCACCCCCACTACTCTGCCATTTTCACTAACATCACTCAATTCTGTGATGTTTTGAACTTTAAATCCTTATGTTAACATCTTAATTTAACAGCATACACTTTTTTCTGAAATAACAAATTATAAGAAACATGTAACTAGAAATTTATCCAGCATTAATGAACTTGTAAAAATCAATAAAATGATTTATTTTATATATGCAAAGTCAAAATCTCTTTGTACACTTTAATTTTTGCAAATTCATACAAACATAGCAATATTGCTCCATATAAACTTTTATATAAACATTAAAGGAAATATATACATTTATTTGTTCTTCTTGTGCTTTCGAAGCACAGAATGTATAAGTCCATCTGAAGACTTTTTATCATCACATGCAAGAACAAATGTCAGAGGTTGGGGGCAGCCTCAAGTGCACTTTGTAATGTCTCTAGACAAAAGAGAAAGTTGGAGGTAGATTGTTTGGTGACTCTCCCTGCCCCTTCCCACAGAGAAATAAGTTACCCAAATAGCAGCTTCTTACTTCTTTGATTCAAACTATCCTGAATATTGCATGATTTAAAAGGCACAATTAGGAATTGTTGAAAACTTTGTTCAGCACACATAAGATTGCCATTTCTTTTCTGTACACCTGTTCTTTCTGAAGGACACAGTAAGAGCACCAAGCTGTGTTCCACTTGGAGGTGGCCCCTAGACACTCTAAGAATGCCCAGAATGGCAAAGTTCAAATGAGTAACCTCTTGTTACCTGTGGTAGGGGCAGTGGTGTTTACTGAATTTAGCCTGCTGGATTAATAATTTCACCTTCCTCAATTGAGGAAAACAAAACAAAACGATTCATACTTTAAAAAATTATTAAGGCAAAAACCCAGCTTTCACTGCCAGATAATCATAAAATTCAAAAACCCCATTGCTTTTTCTTAGCATCTTGAAGGCAATTCCCTTGACTCAAACATTCCAGGAGGCTTCAACAATATCACGTTCCAACCTACAGCATAGAAAACTTGTCATTTTTTTCTCATTGGTCTTTGCACTAACATGATGATCTGCTGTTGATGTGATTAATGTTGTTGAGAAGGTGGTGGGAATCTATTTTTTCTAGTACCTTCTCAAGGTACTGAATTAGGACTCGTCTTTTAAACCTGAAAATAAAGAGAAATTTTACTAACCAAAAGATACTTAAAGTATGCATGACATTCAAGGCATTGTGTGGTATACAAAGTGCAGCTTACAATCTACATGGAAATATAAAGATTATCCTCATGGAAAGATATGGTTTAGAGCAAGTACCAATAGTAGCAATTGAGGGCCCAAGCCTACCTCAGACTATGATAAAGCTAGAAGGATGAATGAGTTGAGTTCAGATAATATAAATCCAAATACTTCTGGAGACAGCCTTAACTATGAGTGAGGACCAGAAACGCAAGGCAAAGCCTATTCCTCTCTTTGTCCTGCATTGGGCCCTATTGCTCTAAAAACAAAAACAAAAAACTAAGAGTTCCTGTTTATGCCCACCTTGCGGCTTCCTTGATGGTAAATTCAACAAACTGTTTCTTCATCTCCAGAGGTCCTTGCACTTCTTCAAGCAAAATGAAAATTCTTTCATATTCTAAAGAAATTAAAAAAAAACAGTGTTTTTATAAAGATGAATGAGAATAAAATTTAATTGTTGTACATCCTTAGTAATTGTTGTTTGTGGGTGGAAAGTTAGATGTAGTTTGTATTTTAAACATTTAGATCAAAATATCTACATGCATTTACTAGGGAAACATGTTAACACTAACCATATGTAGCAGGCTGAACAGTAGCTGCTTAAAATTGTCCACATTTTAATCCAAGGAACCTTATATGGCAAAAAAGACTTTAATCTGCAGGTGCAATTAAGTTAAGGATCCTGAGATGGGGAGATTATCCAAGTTTATGCATGTGGGCCCAATGTAAGCACAGGTGTCCTTATAAGATGAAACAGTAGAGGTAAGGTCAGAGAGAAAACATGTAAAGACAGGAGCATAGGTCAGAGACGAGAAAAAGTGCTAAGGCTGTTTTCATGAAGATGGAGGAAGGGGCCATGGGCCAAGGAATACAGATGGCCCTTAGAAGCTCAAAAAGGCAAAGAAAGAAATTCTCTCTAGAGCTAGCAGAAGGAATGCTGGCCTGCCAACACTATTTTGGCCCAGCAAAAACAATTTCAAAATTCTGACTTCCAGAACTGTAAGATAATAAATTTGTATTGTTTTAAGCTAGGAATCTTTTGATAACTTGTTACAGCGGCAAAAGGAAACCATTACAACAAATAAGGGGGGAAAAAAGAGAAAAAAATATACTGCATCTTTTTAGTTAAAAACAAGAGGAATTGCCTTAAATTATGTGAAAGCCCAGCATCGCACCCAATGCACCTCAAGGGGTAGCTTGAATCTACAGTGAATCATAGAATGAGAGGAACCTCCTGGTGTATTGTTCATAGATGTTCTTTCGCTACTTACTTCGTCCAAACTTTCGAACTTCTTTCATTAATTGATGTTTTATATCAGCATTGATTCCTTGTGCCATAGCAGGAGTGATTTGCAATGTATTCGGCATAGTTTCCAATGTAGATGCTTCTGTCTCTTTTTGGTCATCTACAGAGGGATTGCAGTTTTTGGCTCCTCCTATAGATGTGTTACTACCAGGTTTTTGAATCAGCCCATCTTTGCTGACACTCGTGAAGTTGTCAGAAAGAGAATCCAATTGGTTGGCTGGCATACCATCTCCTGTCATATTTATAAGCTCTGATGGAGCAGATTTTGACAAGAAGCCATCAGGTGGGGTCTGACCATTTTCCATCTTCTCCTCATGGCCATCATGAATGATGGTAGCATCTGGAAACCAAATGAAGAGTTTGAGCTGTGAAGTAAGTTTATTACATCAACTTCACAGGTACAGCCCTCTGATGCTCAATTTCTAGTAAATTATCTCATAAAGCAGGATATACCAGGTGGCGACCTGAGATCCCTCAAATTGAGGCCAGGACACATAATACAGTAAAACTGCCTCTTATTTTCTGGCCCTATGAATACATATGGAAACCAAATAAGACAGTAAAACTCTAAACACACATTCACAGGTCCCTGGTACTCATAGGTTAGTGTGAGCTTGTTATGCTTTACTAGTTGAAAACAGCAAGTCTCAGTTGACATCATGACTTTTGAAATTGACATACAACCCGCCATGCTTTACTGAGCTGGAAGCCAGACAACTTGGATACACCTCAACCTGCCTCCTCTCTACATCAAATATGTTCTGAGAAAATAGAGGCGGCCATTAGTGCTGAAAGTTCTATATGTACTCCATCACCAAAAATCCATTTTAGTGTATGATCTTCCTCAGCCTTCATTTCTGTGTCAGAAAAGTGACTTTCCTTTCACTACAGATCTGACACCTTTTTCATTTATTCATCATCTGTGGCAGACAACATGCCGGTAGCTAGGGATCAGAGTAAACAGCCCAGAGAGCAACGTTCCCTGCCCCTGTGGAGGTCAATCCTCATGGGACAGTCAGACAGTACATGCACAATGAGCAAATGAAACAAGCAGCATTGAGCTGGTGTTGCGGAAGCAGTTCACAGGCCTGTAGGAGACAGCAGCAGAGGGAGCCCCAGGGACTCTGGCTGGTCGGGCAGGGTCTTCTGAGGAGGTGCGCTTGGGCAGGACTTAAAGGAAGAAGCAGACTCTCCTGTGCAGAGGCAGAGGGAGAGTTCCAGGCTGTGGTGAGGCCAAGGGTAGGGACTGGAGTGGGGATGGACCAGACAGTACAGGATGGGACAGAAGCAGAGAGAGCCAGGAGATGAATGGGACTCATGTTAGGAGAACGTGACAGAGGTTAGCCAGTGCAGTCTCGCAGACCAAAGCGGGTTCAGGGTCCCTTCTGAGTGCTTAGGAGAGTTGAGGATGGGTTTTCAAGAGCAACATGGCATAATGTAATATACATGCTGACATAATTATCAGGCCACAGGGTTAGAGAGTATGTGATAGACGGGGGCAAGATAAGACATGAAGCTGGGATAAGAAGGTATTATAGTAGCGTGGTGAGAGGTCACAGCAGTGTGCACTGGAAGGATAGAGAGAAATAGTGGGATTTAGGAATTATGCTGAACATCAAGTTTCCTGGACTTGTGAAAGGGATCAAAGTGAGGGAAGAATAAGAGAAAAATCATAATGACTCTACGGTTTGTCACTTGAACCACTGGGTTAACAGTGCTGGGGTGTGGCAGGAGCCAGGGTGCAACGGCCCTCCAGGGCATTCTTCCTGACTCTGGTTCAATGACTTCAGGTTGATAGCTTGACATTGAAAAATATTAGCATTATTTGCATGAAGGAAATCTGAAAACACTACAATCTAGAGCTTCTCTAACCTACTCAACCCTGACAGACGTTAAAGCTTTACCAGCACATATCTGGATGGTGTTATTATCTGCAATGTGGAAGGCTATGAGTAGAGCTGTTTTGGAGAGGGGCAAGTTCAAGAGGTCAGCTGAAACTCATGAAACCTACTGAGTTTTATTTGTCTGTTAGACACCTGAGTGGAGATGCATGTCCACAATTAAATCTGAGTCTGAAGTCGAGAAGCAAGTTATAGTCTACAGGTATAAATATCAGAGCTATTAAAATATAAAATTTAGAGCCCCAAGAGGTATAAATATCAGAGCTATTAAAGTAAATATCAGAGCTATTAAAATATAAAATTTAAAGCCCCAAGACTCCATGGGGTCACCTAGGAAGAGAGTGCAGTGAAGAACAGGAGAGGTCCCAGAATTAAGCTTTGAGGCCCTATGATATTTAGAGGTGGAAAGAAAAGACAAAACCAGAAAAGAGGATGAAATAGAGTTGCTATTAGTAGGAAAAGAAAGCTATGAGCTTATGGTGTCTGAGAACCCAACATACCCACGGGAGGATGGAGTGAACAACTGTGTCAAATGCTGCGGAGAAGGAATGGCAATGTGCTACAGACACTAGTGACCTTGATGAGAATGTTTCAGTGGGGTTGAGGAGGCAGATACCAGACTGCACTGGGACAGAGCGTGAATAGAGTTGAGAACACATAGAGCAAGTGCAGATCCACTCTTGCTGAGTTCACTTACTCCTACTGCCAGGGAAACCTGGTTTATCCTCCTCATCCTTGCAGCCACTCCAAAAGGTTGCAGCAAACATGCTCACCTCTCTCCATTTCTCCATTAATTACTGTGGTATTTACTTGCTAAGCAATGTATTCATTACTGTTAATTACTATGTTAATTACTATGTGTTAATTACTATATAATTATAAAGTTTTTCACCTCATGTAGAATGAGATCCTTGAAATAGGGTCTCTGCTCCTTGTGGGGCTTATTGTACCTACCACATAGATGATTTAGTAATGGCTTATTTAATTAACACAAACTGAACACAAAGGAAGGAATACAAAACAGAAAATAAAATTATTTAGCGTCTTAGTCCTCTAGGAGCCATAAGGAAATCACAACCACTACTCTATACCTGTATGTACAAGGGTGGGTTTTATGAGGTTTGGATAAGATGGGAACCACAAGGCTGAGGGTGGTCCCTTTCCGCCCACATGGTTAGTTACAGTAGGTGGTGTTTGTGGTTTCCTCAACAGCAGGGACATACTCCGCCTTCTCTTAGATGACATAGGACTGTTGGGTTCTCCTGGACGTTTCACTTTGTTTTGTGGCCCTGCTACAAACTCATCTGCTTCATCAATCATCATTCCCTAAAAAACACATCAACAAACAGATTTAATTAAAGACCAAAATTCAATTATTATAAAACTGCAAGCACTCTTAATATGCATACATAATCAATCTTGCATTACGTCACTCATGTCTTTTTTCCTTTCATTTTTTTAAATCCCATGCCAGATTAACTAACACCAATCTTAATCATGGGCCAAAGATCTACCTTGCCCCACCTCAACTTTGTTCTTAGAAAGATGCAAATCAATTTTAATACAGTTTAAATGGAACAAAAGGAAACTAACATACAAGATGCTGTCCCAAGCAAAGCATCCTACAATAATGATTAATCAGAAAGCTGTCCTATAAGCAGTATTATTCAACCAAAATGAGAGAAGTACAAACCATTTTTCATCAACCCTTCATAAGAGAAATAACGTCCTTTTTTTGTGCTTTAAACTCATCATTAAACAACATTAATTACCACTGTACAGAATGCTACATGTAGATGTTGAAAGGCAGGCAGGTGGAAAATGGAACTCCCCAATCTGCAACCTCACAGGGATTCAAATATGCCCACCTTGATGGTGGGCAGGCAGTGAGGAGGCTTTTCACTCTTGGGGGTAGATAAAAGATGAGAGGCAGCAGTATAGAAGCTTAACCAAGAGCTGTTCTTGTCCAAGAATAATTCAAGAATATTTGCCCTCATTATTTGAATAAAATCGTAATAAATGACTTTTCCACAGGATTTTTTACTCATAAACAATACAAAAATGGAAAAACATTTTCACTGAGAATTTACTACATTATCTGTTCATGTTGCAAACAGCATGTATGTACTCATTTAATATTATGCAGAGTTCTATTGGTTATGTGTAATGTTTTTTTGGGGGGATGGAGTCTTGCTCTATCACCCAGGCTTGAGTGCAGTGGCATGATCTTAGTTCACTGCAATCTCTGCCTCCCGGGTTCAAGTGATTCTCCAGCCTAAGCCTCCAGAGTAGCTGGGATTACAGATACCCACCACCACGCCTGGCTAATTTTTGTATTTTCAGTGGAGACAAAGTTTTGCCATTTTGGCCAGGCTGGTCTCGAACTTCTGGCCTCAAGTGACTTGCCTACCTTGGTTTCCCAAAGTGCTGGGATTACAGATGTCTGGCCTAGTTAGGTGTAATTATTATTTCCAGTGCTACAAAATGAGGAAAGCCAGGCATAGAAAGATAAAATGAGGATTTAGGTGAGGTGGACTACGATTAATTGAGGTGAGGCGGAATACCTTTGAACCTAGTCTTGTCACAAAAGAGATTATTGTGTGGTCTGAGCCTTAATACCAATGGTCTCCTCCACGAGTACAGCTATAATCGCATTTGTTTTCATGCTTAAATGGGCACGTCAGTGTATCTCTCTCTCTCTCACACCCCCCCCCCACACACACCCCCCACATTTAGATCTTTAGTAGGACCATTCAAATAAAATAACATCACTTAGTACTTCATATTTCAAGGGACACATTCATCATTTTCTAGATCAAGCACTACAGATATGAATCATGGAAACAGGAAATAAACTGTGATTTCAATATTCAAGAAATTAGTGTGTGGTGGAATGAATATAGACTCTGGAGTGAGAAAGACATGGATTAAAATCCTTGCTCTTACGTGATATGTCACAGGTAAGGTGTTTGATCACTGTGGCCCTTGATTTCTCCCTTTTAAAGGGCAAACAGTAACATTCATCTTACAGAAGAGTTGTGAGCATTAAATGAGATCATTTAAAACGCCAGCTCCTACTATGTATTCAATATATGGCAGCTCTGACTTTATTCAACCAACACACTCTTGCAACAGGAGGCTCCCACTAAGAGCCTTGGTGTCATATTTTATTGTTTAAACAAACAAATGGAAAACCTCTGATTTGTATTCATCTTGCCAAAAAGAAAATTCTATAGCAAGAATATCCCAACTTAGGCAGACATAGGCATAGGTATCCTACCTTCTTATCCTGTTTAAATGGATTGCCAAAAGTATGCAGTCTTTTGGGTTGGTCTGGATCAATCTCTCGTAGTGGAGAAGCCAACGTCTTCAGATATTCCTGATAGTTACCCATTTGTGCAACTGGAACGCTATGAAGGGAATCTGCAAAGTCACAGAAAAAGGCATTGATGCTCATAGCTGAAGTGTATGGTCCTTTCGAGAAGTCATAATATAGTTTGTTTTAGCAGTGTGTGTCTTGGCATCAAATAGTGTTTAAAGTCTCAAATCTAGCATTCTAGGATCTAGAAGCATCTCTTCATCTCAATCATAACTTAGCCTACCATTACTACTGCCTACAGGCTCACATTGCTAGGATCAGAACAACTCCCTTACCTTCAAACCAGGTTTGAGAATGGGCTGACCTCCCCTACACCACCACCCCAACTCAAATCACCACGTATCTTTTGCATTTCAAGGAGTCTAGGCTCTGCAGCATTCTCTGATCATCCAGAAAATCTTGGTTAGTGGGTATTAATCATGAAGAATTTGATTAAATCTGTAGGTTCTCTTCCTAGAAAAGCCCTTTTACACACAAAACTTAGTGTATAATTTCAGGGGATTGGCCAGGATAAGATTTGCTCATTTTAGTGAACAGGTGACCCTGTTTAAAATTAACATAATGGAGTAAATGGGAATTTGTAAATAGTCACAATTATCCTGGATAGCATTAGGTTGATTACTTTCATGCAAATGAGGTATTCTCTACTGAATTTATCACAGTAATCTGGGTGGTATAGTGTTTGGGTGTGCAGATTGAGAAATATGACAGACCTAGGTTCTGCCACTATCCAACCGGCTAAACTTGGGCAAACTACCCCTAAAATGCTTACTTTCAGTTTCCATTTCCATAAAGTGAGCATAAAAACAGTATCTATGGCCGCGCATGGTGGCTCACGCCTATAATCCCAGCACTTTGGGAGGCCGAGGTGGGCAGATCATAAGGTCAAGACATTGAGACCATCCTGGCCAACATGATAAAGCCCGTCTCTACTAAAGATACAAAAATTAGCTGGGTGTGGTGGCGCACATCTGTAGTCCCAGCTACTGGGGAGACTGAGGCAGGAGAATCACTTGAACCCAGGAGGCAGAGCAGTGAGCTGAGATTGCACCACTGCACTCCAGCCTGGGCAATAGAACAAGACTCCGTCTCAAAAAACAACAACAAAACAGTATCTGTTTCCTGAGGTTGTTTGAAGCTTTCAATAGCTAAAGCATGGCAAGTGTAGTGTACGTGCTGATTAAGTACACTTGCCCTTAAAGCTGAAAAAAAAAAAAAAAAAAGCAAAAACCTGTGCCTGTAAAATAGACATAGGGATTCAGTGAAAACAGGCATCTTAAACATTAAAATACTATAAAATAACCTACTCATTATGCAATAAACACCTTTCTGTAAGTCACGTCTGCCATTTTCCTAAAAAAAAAAAAAGTATTTCACAGTTCTTTTACCTTCATCTTGTCCAACAATAAACTTGTGCGTTTTCAGCAGATTAGATCTCATTCTGGTCAGCTGGTCTAAAAGACCTCTACGGGGAATATCATAAGCATTTCTGTATGTCTGAGGTTTCAAATCCTATTTGAAATGAAACAAATAATTTTAGTTATTCTTGAGGCTTTTAATATAGAAATATAATAGTTATCCCTCTTAAAATGTTACTGAAGAGTGTTATGCCAATACAACTGACTACAGTGGAATTTTCCCAGTGGCAAGATTCCACTTGCTAGCCTTGCTCTGTGTTCTAACACACCTACAGGGTATTAAAGCCACTGGGACTATCCGTTTTCAAGTATGTCATTTAAAACCCCAAATCCCGAGATTGATACCTGTGGCCGCCTTGCAGGACCACTGCTGGTACTCTAGACGTATTCCTCTGGCAGCCATGGAGGGGAGGTGAACTGCTGGATCTCCCTTTAGGAAAGCCATGGCTGATCCTGCAAGGAGTGCAGTTAGCAGAGAGCCTCCCGCTGCCGTGGTGCCGTAGGGATCTGCTGCAGCACTGAGCTGAGGCCATGCCCTTCCCAGGCTGCCCACGGCCAGTGACAGAGAATGGCAGCGTGTTAGGGCCTGGTCAGCTCTGTCCAGCGTGGCCCTCCTCTATGGGAAATCTTGGTGCCAGAGGTCCCCCTTGGGCTGGCTAAGGCTTTCTCCAAGCTACACCAGTGTCTGAGCTTCTTCACAACCAATCCTCCTTAGTTCTCCACTCCTCTCACAGGTGCTACGTCAGCTTTGTGGCCTGGAGGCTCTCCCTGCCTACTCCAGCTCCCTCTCCCCTTTATCTTCCATGGGCATTACCCCCAAAACATTTCTTGTTCATTTAATTCCATATCGATATCTGCTGACAATTCCTAAACTCGTCCTTAACTACTAACTTCAAAATAGGATTGTCCATTATTTCAAAACTAAAGGAATATGAAAGACATAAACGTATCAGACAAGTTCAAACAAGTACAAACTATGTTTGTTCAAATAAATACAAACTATTTATTTGTTCAAACAAATACAAACAATTTACCTTGTTTAAGAGCCCAACTTGGAAGCCAGCAAATTCTTTGGTATTCAATTCTGTCAGTCTAAGCGCAGTTTCTCCTGTGATTTCTTTCAATAGTTTTCTAAAATTTTTATTGTGAGTCAAGGACATGCCACCTCCGGAATGATTTTTCACTTTAATTCCAGTTTCCTGGGGAGGTTTCTTCCCCACTGATGCTAGTATTCGTTCTGACTCTAGTTTGGTCTAAAATGAAAGTACATAGTATGTTATAAAAACAACTATATTACCACTGTCATTTTTACTACTTAAGAAAGATAATACTTTCAGAACCCCGCAGAAAAATTTTCAGTTACAAATCACAGAAAAATAGATAATTAAACATTTTCCTGTGCTTCTCTGCACTACCACAGCAAACAGATAGGGGGCTGGAAAGACAAAAAAAAAAATACGTTTTTTGTCTTTTCTTTGTCTAGTGTCAAAATTATAATAAAAACTATGAATAAGAATTTCATTCATAGACATTTGAAAGCAAATTTTAGTACTATAAGATCTAGTCTAAGTGAACAAGTTCATTTCAGACCCAGACATAAAGGTTAAGACTTTGTATTTATACATGTAAACTAGTGCTAAAATTCAGATCATATTGATTGGAATTATATCTGAAAAAATTAATCTGTTTATCTCTAATATTGGACTATCCAAAAAGGTCTTAGATGATAATGCTTAATTTAACAGATATTACCAAGTAAATAATTTATGAAAAGCCACTTATAGGCATTATGACGCCATATTGATTAAAATTGTTTGAATGTATTACAGCAATATATATTTGGCATATTTTGTGTTTTACATACATCTGAAATGGTTCAAGAAACACTGGTGACCTAGTTATTAAATTAGTAATTTGAGCTATTACAAATTAGCTATGATCTTCTCTTTTTCTGTAAAAGATGGAATTCTACCAATGTTCTGTAAACCCAAAATAATTTTGGATTTCTTGCAGTTTGGTCGGAGATATTTATTAATTTTCCCTAATTATTGGAATTAAGTCTATTTTATTATTTCTAAACAATTCTTAAGACATGAAATATGAGATAAGAGCAAATTAAGGGTCTGTTTGCTTAAATGTTCTTAAAAGTTCATTCATAAAATGATACATGTGCCCCAAAAGGTCCCAGAACTTGCATTAATAAAGACCTCTGTGCACTATTCTTCCTTGTGGCATACCTTGCTGATACAGCCTTAAAGGCTTAGGTAAACACCAAATTAAAAAAAAAAATCAATGGATCAATAGATAGATAAATAAATAAATAAATAACTGAACCAAAACATTTACAACAACAACAAAAAATCTATTAGCAGAGAGGAAAGGGGGTTAGGGGGGACACTTGGTAGATTAGAAATCTGGGGTTGCCTTTACTTTCTTTTGTACTTATAAGCACACTGGACTGGTAGGAGCTGGTAAGCTCCAGACCATACTTAAGGTGTTGTCAGTTCCTAGCAAGGTGTGTCGGCATCCCAATTGTGGAGCCACTTTGGTTCTTTAGTGAAATCTGATGTTATGCTCACTACTCTCCATTTTCTAAAGGCCAAACTTCCAAACACATCCACCTTGAAGCATTATCACCACTGCAAATGCTACTACCGTCCCCTACCTGGGAATATCTTTGCGCATATGGTAAGTAAAGCTGCTGCATTAATTTGTCATATAACATAACACATTCATATGGTAGTAAAGCACTAACTCAGTAGTTCTCAAATATTTCCATCCTACAAGAATGGGCTAAGTAGAGGTGAGAAGTATGATAAGGAACGGTGAGTGGAGGATGAGGTACTAATAGAGAGGGGCAGGCAAGGGACAAGGTGAATAATGGCGAATGAGGAACAGGTGGAGGGTGAGAAGAGGGGAAACTGAGCTCCACTCTTCAGGTCCCCTTGGGGTCTATCACCCTCCAGTGTGAGGAACACGGGTCTCATCTCCCCACTCTCCAGGGAAAAGCATATAGCTATTTATCCCAGGGCTAGTATGTGAGTATAAGTCCTTCACATTAATGACTCATTAAATGACTTGCCTGAAAACTTATCTTAGGCAAGTCATTTAACACATCATGCCTCAGTGTGCTGACCTAAACAGGAGGGATGCTCTAGCCCATAGTGATCTGAGGAGGAACTAGGTTGAAGATAGACAAAATGTGACCCATGAGAGAAGTCTATTAAGCTTCTGCCCCATATCAACCAGCTTGTGGGTAGGACAAACTGGCAGGCAAAAGGAGAAATGGCACAGCATCAAATGATACTGACAGACCCTTAACTGTAGCTTAATGGTGAAGCTAGAAGCCATAGAGAATCACATTATTACTAATCCATAAAGTGTAGAGATATATACACATTTAATTGGAAAAATTACAGTTACACTAAAGAATAAGGAAATGCACTTCTGAGGGCAAAGGATTTTTGTTTGTTTGTTTTTACCAATACTACCTGTTGGCTGAGTTTTTTAAGGTAAGAGATAACACTGTAACTAAGTCCACAATCTAAATTATCTGATATCAGATTTGGAGCTCCCATCATCCTTAGTGCTTTCTTTAATGGCTATAAGGAAACAAAATACACAACAGTAAGAATAGAATAAATCTTAAAATACTCAAAGTTCAGTTATAAGGGGCAAGGGGACATGATTCATTTCTTAGAAGTCAAGGTGCTGCACATAAAACCAAACATGGAACATTAAAAAGTGGCAATGAAAATAGCAGAGAAGTAAGGAGCAGAAAGTAAAAAAATCAGAAGAGAGTGGGATAAGAAGAGCAAGTAACAGCAAATTCAAACAAGCGAATTGCGTTCAGTCTTATTTCCCAAATCATCAAATCATTTCACATTGCATTTTACTGTTCGCCCCATTCCTGCCATGGTAAATAGTAACACACCCCAATTTCTCCTCCCAGTGAAACCAATGGTACCATTTAAGATTCTGCCTTTTCACCTCTAGAAACTTGGCTTAAAATTTACCACATCAACCTCTGAAATTATTTTGGTGATCTTAATTTAGATTATATTACCAGTTCAAAATCATGAATACTTCACATTATAAAAACCAAAATGAGGCCAAATCATTTCTTAATCTTTTTGGATTCTGCCTCCCACCACCAGTGCCCCAACTTCATGCTGTGTCTAGGACACATTTAAGAGGCAACAGGCAACTGTATCATCTTCAGATTTTCTTTTTCCAGAGGGAAAATCCCATACTGAGAATTTCTAGAGTTAAAAAGGGAAGTTGATCTAGATATGAATAGATATGAATCCAGATCTATTTATTCTTAAATTCCAATATTACAATTTCATAAGGTTACTTTACATAAGAGAAACATAGATGTGTTTTATAAAAACAACCATGGCAGTTAAAGGAATAAAATAGAGAAAACAGTTTTCTTTTGTGCCGCCATGACATCTCCAAACTCTTACACATGATTTGAGAAGACAGTGACGACACAAATATCTGTAAAATAAAAAGATAACTCTCTTATTGCAAAAGTAAAGCTTTTGATCATGACAAGAATCATCATTGATACAGTTAATACATATATACACACAAATACATACTAATAGGTAGTATGGAGGCAGAGTTTTTAAGTAGCTGTCAAAAGCCTGTCGCCACTTCAGATTTGGCTTAAGCTTGTGAACTTTAAACAAGTCATCTGTAAATAGAAAAATAAAATATTACATCATTGTAGTCCTGAGTTCTAAGGATCTAATCAAGCAACCCTCATCTAGAAACTTCAACTTTTAATGTAGATAAAAATTTCACTGGTGTTTACTTGATTATCTTGTTTAGTGGTTGTATTATTTACCAAAATTATATACAGTATTTTTTCTAGAAAATGAAATAAATACTCGTTACATATCCCTCTTCCATCCACAATGCTACATAAAATACAATATTGAAACAATGATTTTGATCCACTTGAAATATTTTCCCAACCTCTTCCATATTAGTAACTCTAGTAATTTTCACCTCAGGGGCAATCCATAGTCACTGGTTGATGGAATAACATTTATTTCTTTATTTCATTTAAACATAGAGGGTGTTACACATTTTGCTGAAAGGTCCAGGTAAGAGACTTTACAAAGTATGTAAGAAGAAAAGCTAAGCCTATAATTTCTAGGCAGTGATGAGCAAGCTCTAAGACTATATTTTGGACCAGGCACAGGGGCTTACACCTATAATTCTCACACTTTGGGAGGCTCAGGCAGATGGATCACTTGAGCCCAGAAATTTGAGACCAGCCTGAGCAACACAGTAAGACCCCTGTCTCTATAAAAAATAAACAAATTTAGCCAGGTATGGTGGCATATGCCTGTAGCTGGGGAGGCTGAGGCAGGAGGATTGCTTGAGCCTGGGAGGTTCAGGCTGCAGTGAGCTGTGATCATACCACTGCACTCCAGCCTGGGTGACAAAGCAAGACCCTGTCTCAAAAAACCTAGTAAAATTAAATAAAATATAAACATTTGGATTCTCTTTAATCAGTCTATGCTTTATTTAGCCATATTTCACTGCCTCTTCATTTTTTTTTTTTATTTCCATGATCACACATTTTGAGCCAAACTTTAGGTCACTCATTGACCTAAATTCATCAGGTGATAGTAAAAGCACTAGAAGTAAGTACAAATGTTAGGTTGAGGTTTAAAATTCTGTACAACTGGGCCAGGCGCGGTGGCTCAAGCCTGTAATCCCAGCACTTTGGGAGGCCAAGGCGGGTGGATCACGAGGTCAAGAGATCGAGACCATCCTGGTC